AACAGATTGTGAGGATGTCTCAGGCTGGGCGCTGGTTTCAGCACCCCTAAAGGGAGGGAGCCGCCGAGGGGTATGACACGGTCCCGTTCGCGGCCGTGTTGTGGGGATGTCTCCAGCGGTTTGCGTGTTTTCTAGCCCAACACACTTCGCTTCCGGCGCAGATTTGGAGGATGTCTCGAGCGAGGCGCTCATGTTCACGCCCCTAAGGGGAGCCGCCGAGGGGTATGACACGGTCCCGTTCGCGGCCGTTTTGTTGGGATGTCTCAAGCGGTTTGCCTGTTTTCTGTTCGAACATCTTTCGCGTTCGGAGCAGATTTGGAGGATGTCTCGAGCGAGGCGCTCATTTTCATGCCCCTAAGGGGAGCCGCCGAGGGGTATAACACGGTCCCGTTCGCGGCCGTGTTGTGGGGATGTCTCCAGCGGTTTGCCTGTTTTCTGGCCCAACATCCTTCGCGTTCGGAGCAGATTTGGAGGATGTCTCTAGCGAGGAGCTCATTTTCACGCCCCTGAAGGGAGCCGCCGAGGGGTATGGCACGGTCCCGTTCGCGGCCGTTTTGTTGGGATGTCTCAAGCGGTTTGCCTGTTTTCTGGCCCAACATCCTTCGCGTTCGGAGCAGATTTGGAGGATGTCGCGAGCGAGGCGCTCATTTTGACCTCCCTGGTGGGCCAGATTTTGAGGATGTCTCGTTCGGTTTGCCTGTTTTGGTGGCCAGACTCGTGGGCACAGATTCTCCTCAGGGTGCCACAGGATGCTCCAACAAGCTCCACGAGGCCACTGGGGACCATATGAGGTCCCAGGAGGCATCAGGAGCTCACAGAAAGACTCAAGAGACCACAAGATGTCCCAAGATGCTCCAGGAGGCCCCAGGAAGCTCCAGGAGGCCTCAGGAAGCCACAGGAGGCCCCAGGAGGCCACAGGAAGCGCCAAGAGACTTCGGAAGGCAACAGGAGGCCCCGAGAGGCCCCAGGAGCAGGAGGCCTCAGAAGGCAACAGAAGTGGCTCCAATCCCATGTGTTCTTTATGTATGCTCCTATAGATTGGGCCTCACCTGGAGCACGATTCCTTGACGTTATACGTATGTCTCTATATATTGTCCTTTTCCTGTGAACACAATCCTACATGTTTCACTTATGTTCCTATATGTTGGGCCTCTCCTGGGGCACGAGTCCTTGGTGCTTTACGTGTGTTCCCATAGATTGCCATTCTCCTGCGGCTCCAATCCGCAATGTTTTATGTACGTCGGTTGCTATATATTGGGCCTCTCCTGGGCCACGAAGCCTCAATGGGCGGTCCCAGGAGGCCCCGGGAGACCCCAAGAGGCTCCTGGAGGCCCCATGAAGCCCCAGTAGGTTTCAGGAGGCCCCAGGCTCATGCGCAGAGACGCGCTCGTACTACTGAGGCTCATTCACACTCCAATTCACTCGCATTTAGATTCATGACCAGACCGTCACAACTGAAGCCCGTTTATATTCGAAAGCTCTTGCGCCTAGACATTCACGGCGGACATGTCCACGCGAATAGATGCACATATGGGGAGCTCCACGCAGTGAATAATTATTACTCTGACGCCCCCTACTCCTCCTACTCCCTCTCCTTCCCTCTTCCCCTCATACCCAGACTTACTCATACACAGACTCACACTCAGACTTACTCATACCCAGACTTACTCACACACAAAATTACTCATACCCAGACCTCCTCATACTCAGACCTACTCCTACTCAGACTTACTCATGCTGAGACTCACGCACACCCAGACTTACTCATGCTCAAGCCTTCTCATTGTCTGACATACTCTACACACACCAGATTGTGAGGATGTCTCAGGCTGGGCGCTGGATTCAGCACCCCTAAGGGGAGCCGCCGAGGGATATGACACGGTCCCGTTCGCGGCCGTGTTGTGGGGATGTCTCAAGCGGTTTGCCTGTGTTCTGGCCCAGCATCCTTCGCTTTCGAAACACATTTGGAGGATGTCTCGAGCGAGGCGCTCATGTTCACGCCCCTAAGGGGAGCCGCCGAGGGGTATGACACGGTCCCGTTCGCGGCCGTTTTGTGGGGATGTCTCAAGCGGTTTGCCTGTTTCTGGCCCAACATCCTTCGCGTTCGGAGCAGATTTGGAGGACCCCTCGAGCGAGGTTTCACCCCCCAGGTGGGCCAGATTTTGAGGATGTCTCGTTCGGTTTGCCTGTTTTGGTGGCCAGACTCGTGGGCACAGATTTTCCTCAGGGTGCCACAGGATGCTCCAACAGGCTCCACGGGGCCACTGGGGACCACATGAGGTCCCAGTGCGTTGGGGCGATGCGAGGGCGAGTCGGATGGCGCGTTGCGTCGGCGCGCCTTGCGCGTGCAGCGCGCGCGCTCGAGGGTTAAGGCACTCCTGATCTCGCCACGTGGCCTTTGAAACCGCTGCTGGGAAGGCCGCCGCATCGACACCGCGTTCGCGAATATGGTTCGCCGCGTGCGGGCGTCATAGGCGTCGGCGTAAATCCGCGATGCCCTGGAGCGGAATTGTTGGCATTCAACGCCGACTGCCGCACGTGTTGCTAATGCAAGGTTAGGTCGCCCAGGGGCGAGTCGGTTTGGTGCTGCAGCCGCGCGTCGCGCAGGTCCTCGCCCGGCCAGACTTGGAGCAGTTCGCGGTCGATGCGCGATGCCCGATGAAGACCCCGGCCCAATGAGAGGGGAGCGCGGCAGCTGTAGCCGTCGGCTCGAGAACCACCTCCCCGCTCCGGGTCTGCGCAGCACCGAGGCTGCAGCTCCGACTGGGAGCAGTCACTCAGCGCAGGTTCTTCTGTCGGGCCTGCCGGGCACGCTGCTCGCCCCCGCCCGCCAGATCAGGATGCGATTTGCCCAGTTCGTCGAGAGCGCGCTCGCTGGCGAGCTGAAACGCGCGGTCTGGTGCTTTCTGGAGGTGCCGAGGCAAGCTGCCGTCGAGGCGGTGCGGGTTTCCCGCGAGATCCTGGGGCGCCGGGTACCTGAGCCTGCCGGCCGACCTCATGGCGGCCGGCGGGTTCCGCAACTCGTTGTCCAGGCGCCCCGCGACGGCGCGAATGCAGGACTCCAGCGCGCGTGGTCTTCCCATTGCAGCGGCTCGTTTCAATGCTCGAGCGCCGCGCGGCGAGGGAAGTCCACGCGCTCCAGCGCGAGCCTGGATATGCCACGCTTGTTGGCCAGAAATCTCTGCGGGGCGTGGCGGGAGAACAACGCCGCGCGGTGGCGCGACAGGTCGTGGCGCCATTCGAGAGTAGACGTACGAAGATGACGATCTAGTTCATCTGCCACGTGGCGGCTGCAGTAGATGCGATGCGATCCAGCCTGGAACGCGCGCTGGTCGAACCGCGCGCGGGCCCCCCCTTGGGGCGTTCCATGGCGACCGAATGGGGTAAGACGAGAAGAATCTGTCGACGCAATTTGTCATTGATGCGTTCCAGGGATTCGGGGTTATCTAACGAACGGCCTTCGCGCGGGGTGCACTAGGCGTCGAATATTGTCTTCAGGGCCCCGTACACCCGGACACGCTAGACCCGGACACCCAACATCCCTCGAAACCAATTTTCCAAACGGCGGCACGAACAAAATATTGCACTGCAGCGCTTTCAGATTTAACCCGGACACAGGCCTCAAAAGCCTGCAAGATCCTCCTAAACCCGGACACAATCCCGAATCCTGCAGTGCAGCAAACAAAACATGCATGGGTGCTGAAAAACGTAACTTTGCAGGGAAGGAGGTCGTTTCCTTGGTTTTCCGTGTCCTGGTTTATCTGTGTCCTGGTCTCCGGGGGCCTGATGTCTACTCTGCCTGGCGCCGCCGGTCGGTCACCCACTTGCACTCGAGTTGTCGCCCGCGTGGGGCTGTCTGGCACTTGCTGACCCCCCTTCTCGTTGCCGTGCGCGCGGGGGGCGGGGGGGAGGGGGGCGGCGGCGCGCCGCCCCGTCGCCCGCCGCCTCGCGCTGCGCGCCTCGGCGGCTACCCGAAGACCCGGCAGATCACGCGCGGCTCTGGAAAATGCTCCGAAGGCAGATGCGAAAAATCCAATCACGTTTTTGAGCATGTCTGGCCTACTCTGGGAAAGATCCCGGAATCGATTCTGAAAGCGCCGGAAGTGCGAATCCTCGCCCCCGGCCCTGGGCCCAGAAGCACTCCCTGAGTTGAGGGGCGCCCTGTCCTCGACAGAGACGACGTAGTCGAAGTCCCCGCCGACCGGCGTGAGGACGCCCCGGGAGATCGCCAACTTGTCAGCGATGCGAGCGCGCAGGAGCGCCAGGAGAGCAGGGCAAATAACACTCGAGACTCGTGAGTGCAGCTTCACACCATGGAAGTCGTGTTCCGTGAGGTCTGAGACCGCGTGGAAGTATGAGGCGACAATGTCCAAAGAGCCAAGCGGGCCCCGTGACCGGAGCATGGCAGCGAGGCCACGCCAGATGTGGACGCATTAAGGGTTTGCGTCGAAAAGGTTCAGAATACTACCCCGCACCACGATCCCGACCCCCGCGTGACCGGCGGTGGGGCCATCAGACCAGAAAGCCACAGTGCCCGGTGGGGTACGCCATTTGCTGTTGCCCGCCTCAGTGCCGTGGGTCCCCGTGAAGACGCTGGAGTGGACCGAGGAGGGTGGATAGGGGCGGCAGCGGCGGCACCAACAGCTCGGAGTAGCCGCTGGCGTCGGCAGATATGGACCGAAACATTGTGCAAACAGTTGTTTATCATGCGCTCGGGGAGGACCTCCGCGCCCCCAAAATCAGAGGAAGCAAACGAGGCAGATGTTGGTCCACAGGATACTCGGCACCGCGAACAACACCAGGAATGAGAGGAATATAAAATGTAGAATGACGTCCCAGACCCTGGGGGACAGCACGATCCCGACCGTCAGTGTCTGAGCGGGGCCGGGAGACAACCAGGATGAAGAAACCCTCGTAGCCCCGATAGTCGATGCAGCGAATTCCAAGATCGCAGCCCGCCTGTGATGGACGCCCTGAATGGTCGAGGGGCCAGAGGGCATCTATTGCTGACCCCTCGCTCCGTTTTCCTGTCCAGCATCAGAGAGGAGGAGATCGTTGCAAACCTCGATGCCAACCACTTCTTGACCAATCTGCACGGCCTGCCCGTGGAACGCCGCGTAGATCTTCCCAATGTCTTCGATGTTCTGGGCCAGCACCTTGATGATCCCGGAGGGGGCCTGTGCATCGCGGGAGGCCAAATGGATGAACTCCCCTGGCTTGGGGTGGTCCGTGTCCGCGGCTTTGGTGAACGAGTGGCCCGTGGCCCCACGCAAATGGCTCATCAAGCGGTCGAGGACAACGGCATCCTTCCGGCCCAAATCACCCTTCACGATGATGTCCGCAATGCAATCTGAGATCGAGGCGCCCCGGGCACCCCGCCGCTTTTGCGCAGCCACGTGCATGGCGGTGGCAACTGGAATGGCGATGTCCCGGCCACCATTGCGCGAGGGTTTCTACTTCAAGCGTGTGGCGGCGTTTGCTTTAATGATCTGGTAAATGCTGTCCAGAACGCCCCTCCACGCCTCCGCCGACGCATCGGAAACGACCAAGAACCTGCAAGCCCCAATGGGGAGCATCTGTGAGCACAGCGGCCAATAGTGGTGGACCACGCTGTGCCCATTACACTCCACAGTCTTCGCGTCCACCGAGCCCGTCATGGACTTCAAGCTGAATAATGTAGACTGCGGGAGCACCTCGGCGCGCAGAATTTTCAAGACAAGCATCTGGTTCATTTCCGCCGTGTTGGGTGGGATGATAACGTTAATCGATACGCGCGAGACGTCCTTGGTGGAGGGAAGGCTTCGCCGGTGGCATCTGAACAGAGCATCCTGCAGACGTTGGAGCTGACCCACAGCCAAGAAAGAGGTAGGGTTGACCACACGCATGTCGAACGTTGCGACGGCGAAGTCGTCGACCAGCGAGATTGTGTTCATCTGGGCCATGCGCGGTACTCCGCGGGGGTCTGTGCGACGGAGGGGGAACACGGCGAGGCCGCGCTTGTCGTGTTTACGACACGAACGCCAGGTCCTGGGCGATCGCCATCCACCTCTCGGACAGCATAGAGGATGACCAAACATTGGTGATGTTGCGAACATAATTCAAGCCTGAGGTGAGAGGGATAAGGAAAGAAATATCAGCGTGGTGGGCCTGGACTCCCAAGCCGTGCGTCGCATTAACGACGGGAGGCACGGGCTGCACGCACTGGCGTCTGTCGGAGCCCACATGACCACGTTCTTCCCGGCGATTTCGTCCCAGACCCGATCGTCCCCCTTCTCCGCAAGAGCAGCCAGGGCTCGGGAATCAGCGACTGCCTGCCACCACGGGGGAGGAGACGCACTGAAGTATGTTGGACCACTGTGTGTAGAACTGGAGGCTCTGGACCTGCGTGCTGGCAAGGATCGTCTTGATCGCGTCGCAGCCCAGCTCCTTCTGGAGGGGGAGGTCGGCGACTTTGATCCGTCGGCGAGCCTTCAATACCGCCGGCAAATCCTCTGCGCATCTCTCCGCGGCCTAGGTGAATTTTGAAGGGACTCTGGGACACACAAATGAATACACACAAATACATCATTCCCTATATTTTACAATCTTTTCTGGGTTTTTGTCTTCCCCCCCACTTCCCATATTTCCTCATATTTTCTGGGGAATCGACGCTTCATTGTGTCTTTATGCTTCTTTCCCTCCTGAAATTTGTCCGAGAGCGCCTCGGCGGCGAGACGCTCTGCAAGTGGCCCCGCGGGCGTGGGAGGCCGGCGACAGAGGGGAACGCGGGCCGCGCGCCCCCCGGGGGGCCAGACCCTCTTCGGAAGGATCGGTGCCGCCCGACATCGCAAAACCGAGCATCGCCCAGGGGCCCGTGGAGTCGGGGAGATACCCCAACTTCTTCAGTAGATTCTGGGCGACCCAAAAAGGGGGTCCAGCTGCAAGGGGGTGGTGCAATAGATTTGGGGCAATTGTATTGCAAACGTATTGTGCCGGAGAAATGTATTGCATTGTATTGCAACTAATGTATTGCACGCGAGAATTCAGCAATACATTTGCGCCCTGGAATGTATTGCACCCCCAAAATTTATTGCAACCCCACAAATCTATTGCGCCATCCCCTTGTCGCTGGACCCCTTTTTGGGTCAACCCGATAGAGGCCTCCTAGATGGGGTCGGAGCAGATGGGGTCGGAGGATCGCGCCGCATCGCCGACACATCGCCGATGCATCGGCGATGCATTGGCGATGCACTGGCGATGCATGGTCGACGTCTGCGATACATCCGAGTCGTCGACGTGGAGAACATCGGGCCCCACATCGAGTTGCGTCGCCGATGCATCGGCGATGCGGCGCGATCCTCCGACCCCATCTACTCCGACCCCATCTGGGGGGCCTGGATTCAGCATCGGCAGCACCGAGCCGAGGCTGTGCGGGTGCTCGATCGGGAAGTCGGCCAGCGTGGGGGCGGAGACGCTGGCGGCCTGCACGAGCGCGAGATGCTGCATCACCTTCTCCTCCTAAAACAAGGCTAGGATCGGGATAAATCGCTCCAGAGCGTTCCGGAGCGCTCTCAGAGCGTTCCAGAACGCTCTGGAGCGGCCGCGGCGCCCAATACATCCTCCAAACCCGCCGATTCTCAGAGATTTCGAGTTATCCCGATCCGATTTTGTCCCGATCTTCGCGTCGTTTTATCCACCCCATCGCGCAGAAGCTGAGAGCGGAAGGGTTGCAGGTCCCCCGGACCGGGCTGCTGGCCTGCGGGGTACCACGCCTGCTGCTGTCGACCCACTAGGGGGGCGGCGGTCCGGGGGCGCGCGGCGCGCCAACCTGGTCGCCGTCGATGTCGATGTCGCCGTCGCTGTCGTCTTACAGCTGGCCATCGCTCGGACGTCCATTCCTTGTGTTTTTTCCGGTTTCGTGCGTGGCTTTTTCGCCAAATGATCAAGGATGCTCCTCGATGGTCTTCACCGAAGGAAAAATGCACACGTCCGAGCGATACCACGTCACCAGCCTCTGAGATGCACCTGTTCCTGCGGCAGCCGGCGGCGCAGGGCGCACCGGCGCACCGGCGGCAGCGGGCGGCGCAGGGCCTGGTGGCGCGGGGGCACCGGTCAGCCGAAGGGCCGCGGTGCCCCGGGTGAGGCCCGCCTCCCCGTCGTCCATAATGAAGGGGCCCAAGGACACACAAATAAATACACACAAATAAAAATATGCCCCATGTTTTCCCATATTTTCTGGGTTTCTGTCTTCACCCCCAGATCCCATATTTTCTCAAATTTTCGGGGGGATCGAAGATTAATTGTGTCTGTGTGTTTTTTCCCTCCTGACATAAGCGCGTCCGCAGTCGCGGCCGCCAGGGTAGCCACGGCTGTGTCCGCGAAGGCAGGAGCCGGTTTTCTAGATAGTACTTATAGGTGATGTGGGATTTGTTTGGGTACCCTGGGAGCCGTTTCACTTGAGCCTACCTTGAGCCAAGGATCTCCTCTTGGGCCCCAGAGCAGGAAACGGCAGCGGCGGGGAGAGACGATCAAAGGCCGGGAAAGCGAGCAGGGTATGATCAGGCCCCGCTCGGGTAGAACGAAGATGGGGAGGGGCGACAGAGGGGGAGAGGACGCGCGAGGGGTGGAGGAGATGGGGAGGAAGCATGGACGGGCGGGCGGGTTTGGGGGTTGGGGGAATAGCACAGATGGATGGAGCCGCCCCAGCGGCCGCGTCGGTTTCGGCGCCGGCCGCTGGGTGCCGAAGGCCACGAGCGGCGTGCGCGCGCGCCTGCCTCGGCTCAGGGCGCCGCCAGCGCCGCGGCCGCCAGCAGCGCGGCCGCCGACGCGCCGATGCCGCGCCGCGCAGCCGCCGACGCGGCGACGCCGCCGAGCGGGCAGCGGACCTGCTGACGGGGTCGCCGCCGCCGCTGCCGCCGCCGCCGCCGCTGCTGTCGTCGCCGCCGCCGCTGCCGCCGCCTCCGTCGGGGGCAGGGGCGAACGAGGGGGGCACGGATGGGAGGAAGTGGGGGGGGTGCGGAGAAGGAGGCGGGGGAGGGGGAGAAAGAAAGGGACCAGGATGGGGGAGGAGGGGGAAGAATAACGAATACGTAGGAGGTGGCGGAGGAGGAAGCGGAGGGGAGAGGATGGGAATGAAGATCATACTGGGGGAACAATGAGGGCAAGGAAGGAAGAAAGAGAAATACCAGAAAGAACACAAAATGCATCAACGATGCTGCAATACACCGTCCTGTTCCAATTTTCCGCATGTCCCCAGACCCTCCCATGATTTGGCTGAGATTTGCCCCATCTCTTTCTCCAAGCGGGGCGACTGATAAGATGAACGCTCAAGATTGACCACCACACTGCGATAGATGCAAGACTCTGAGCTGCTGCGCCGAACGTCGGGCCACGTGCGTCGAACACCTGCGCAGCTCAAATCGAAAAAGGGAGGGCGATAACAAGCAAGCACGACAAGGAACTTACAACGGGGGGGCATAATTGGAGGGTGAGCACGAGGAGGGGAGGAGGAAGAGGAGGAGGAGGAGGAGGATTGAAAAGGAAGGGGAGGAACTACTTGTGATAATGACAACGCCGCGCGCTCTGTCTGGTTCACCCCTGCTGCTGCGGTGGGCGGCAGACAGCTGAAGAGGGGTTGGGTGGAATCGGCCGCGAAAGACAGCGCCCTGTGATGCAACAGCGCCGAGCGCTAAATGACAAGACCACCTCTGGAAGACGCGAGGTCCCGCAGAGATCCGCGTGACTATCCACTCCTCCAAAGAGCTCACGAATGTAACAACAAGGATCTGCGTGACTACCCACTCCGCTGGACCTCTGGGGAACCCACGGTGGTGGCGGCAACTGCGCAATTCGCAACCCCACAAAGAACTGCGCGGTTTCGTAGGGATCTGCGTGACTACCCACTCCGCCGGACCTCCCAGGAGCCGACGAAAGCGGCGACATCTGCGAAATTCACAGCCATCCATGCTTAGGTCGGGCATGTCCTCCGACAGACGGATTTTGAAAGAAAACTAGACTATAGTCAAACACATTTAACAGCACCGAACCATAATCGAACAATCGTCTCCAGACTATTTCTGATTATCTTTGGATAATCCTCCTGCAGAGGGTCATGCCCGACTTACCCCAGAGAGGCGTGAAGTCCCGCAGGGGATCTTCGTGACTGCCCCCCTCCGCTGGACCTCCCAGGAAACCTTGCGGAAGTGGCGACAGCTGCGCAGTTCGCCGAGCCCATAAAGTAGGGAGGCAAGGAGGCAGGACAAACAGGAGGTAGGAGGAGGGCGAGGAGGAGGAGGAGGACCAGTGTAAACCCAAGAGGCATCAACGATGTTGGAATACACGCTCCATCCAGGCTCCCTCTTCATAGGCCCCATACAACGGTTCATTTTATTGAGGGAACTGCCTCGTTGGAAGACAACTGTTTAAAGACCCTGAAACATGCCACGACATTGTTCTCGGGATTCCAGCGCCACGGATCAACCTGACTGGTGCGTCTTGACTGAATCATGCCAAGACGCTAATCCTGGGACTTGAACACCGCGAATCAACACAACATGTGCACCCTCAGCAGCCTGAATCCTTCCAAGACGCAGAATTCTGGTACGCTGGTCATGAAAACCCGTGGAACTCTTGCAACTTTCTAAAACGAATGTGCGCGGCGCTGGGGCGAGAACCACATTCTGAAAACGAGCCGCCCTCAATCCGTGACACTCTTGCATTTTTTTTTGAAACGAATGTGCGCGGCGCTGGAGCGAGAACCGCATTTTGAAAAAAAGAGCCGCCCTCACGCCGTGAAACTCTTGCGCAATTTTAGAAGGAATGTGCGCGGCGCGAAAGCGAGAACCACATGTTGCAAAAGAACTGCCCTCAGTCCGTGAAGCTCTTGCAATTTGTCGAGACGCATGTGGGCGGCGTTAAGGCGAGAACCACACTTTGAAAACGACTCGCCCTCAATCCGTGAAACGCTTGCGAATTGTTAAGACGAGTGTGCGCGGCGCTAATGCGAGAGCCACATTTTGAGCACCACCCGCCCTCCATCTGTAAAACTGTGACCAACTTTCAAGCTTCATAATCAAAAGAGGTAAGGAAGTCTCAGGCGAAACGCCCCGCCCGCCCTAGAAAACTTCTCGAGGTGCGACAGGGGGAACTCATTTTTTAGGAGAAGGAATGGAGGAGACAGGAGGAGGAGGAAGAGGAGGAGGAGGCAGGAGGCAGGAGGCAGGAGGAGGAGGAGGAGGAGACGCGACCGCAGTTCTCCATTCAAACCGGGAACCCAACGCAGGAGGGCTGGTGGGCGCCGACTGCAGCCGCGCCCGCGCGGGACGGACACGGCCAGGCCGACCATGAAACCGTGGGGCTCAGATGAACATCCACATGTCGGGGATGGACAGACCCCCCTTTAGTAAAACGTGGTTTAATGAAAACGACCTCGGGCCCAAACCTGGAGGGCGCAAGCCTGGAAAATAACGGCCGCGGCGCCCTCTCGAAAACCGAAAACGGACAATCCACTAATCGACGTGTCAGGGTAGGGGGCCTGTCCACTCCCGAAAACCGTGGGGCTCAGATGAACATTCACATGGCCAACCACGATCCCTCACGCCCTTGGATCCGCTTGCGCCAACACAAAGAGGCGGCAGGCGTCGGAGAGGAGTCGGGAACGCTGGGGAACGATCTATCCAGGCCTTGGCCTTAGGTCGAGCATGTACCTTTTTTTTTTACGGGCGGGTTTTGGAAGGTTAATGAAAGATAGCAAAACAAGTTTTGTTGTGTTGTTTTAGTTTTACCGGTAAAGCGCGCGGCAGGTTGTGAGCATGGGGGTGAATGCCCCAGAGCTTCGTGCCGAGGGCCAGTACGAGGAAGGGGCCGCGTGCGTCAACGCCACCCAGGACATCGCTCCACCGAAGGCTCCAGTGGCAGGGTCCGCATGGGTCAGTGCCACCCATGTAGGCACACACGCACACACACACACACACACCTCACACGGTTCGTGGCCCCACAGGGAGCTCCACCGAGTGGCCCCATATGGAGCTCCATCGAAGGCCCCATTGGCACTTTCCCCCACCCAGGATAGTTTTCGTGACCCCGTAGGGAATTCCACCGAAGGCCCCAGTGGCACCGTTCGCATGCGTCTCCCCCGCCCAAGACAACGTTTCGTGGCCCTATGGGAAGCTCCACCGAAGGTCCCAGTGGCACCGTTCGCGTGCGTCTCTCCCACCCGGGACACCGCTTCGTGGTCCCATCGGGAGCTCCACCGAAGGCGGCAATGGCGCAGTTCGCATGCGTTTCCCCCACCCAGGACAGCGTTTCGTGGCCCCATAGGGAACTTCACCAAAAAGGTACCAATGGCGCAGTTCGCATGCGTTCCCCCCCCACACAGGACAACGCTTCGTGGCCCCGTAGGGAGCTCCACCGAAGCCGCCAGTGGCGGTGTCCACATGCGCCCGCGCCACCGATTTCGGCGCACCCTTCGCACGCTTCGTGGCCCCATATCGGGGACCTTCTGACCCGGGTCAATCCAGACCCGGGTCAGCAGGAAACCAAAAACTGCAATGCAGGAAAAAAAAACTGCAACGCAGGTCCTCGCAAACCCGGGTCAGCCAATATGTGCGGCCGCCTCGCGGCCACGAGCGGCTCCCTGACCCGGGTCAGCCAGATGGGGGCCTTCGCAGGATCCTGCAGGATCCGGCGCCCTGGCTGACCCCCGTCTGCATTGACCCCCGTCTCAAAGCTCCCGACCATAGGGGGCTCCACCGAAACTTGTACCCATAATGCAGCACTCGCAGCTGCATGTGATTGGGTCCTTCGTCGAACTCATTTATTCGAGCTTCCACGTTGGTCGGAACAATTAGTAACCACGTGAAAAGGAACGAAGGGTATACAATGGTTTGGGTTCAGATCCGGCCAGAGAATT